GGAGGGAAAGAGACCCTAAGCAAGCCAACGAGAAAGAGAAAGAGAGAGAGAGAGAGAGAGAGACGGCTCTCCCGACCTTCGGTGTCTCTTACATACACCCGGGCGGTCAGCCCCCTTCCACATTGAAGCCCGACGTCCCGGCCCCTGTCGCCTCATGTCTTTTGCCTCTATCCCCTCTACCGTCCTACTTTTGCCCTGTGTTGGGCCGGCGCCCGGCTGTCAGGCGTAAGCCTTAAAATAATATGACCATATAATTAGATATCAAAACAAAAATATATATATATATAATATCAACACACAAATAAAGCAAATATATATGTATATCAAAACAAATCGTTTAAGTCAAAATAAGTCAAGGCACAAAACATTACACCAATTCCATTGATGTTCAATCCCAGATCCTTCACCCTGGCCGAGCACCGCACGTGGGAGATCGAGCCCTTGACCCCTGGCGAGAGTGAGTCGAAGAACCTGGTCAACACCTGTTCCAGGATATTTACCCAAACACGACCTGTCTAGAACTGGCACATTAGATATTCCAGAGCCATGGTGTGTGGGGGCTGTACTGGCTTTCGAATGCGCAGCAACTGCATTTCACAAGTCTTCAACATGTCTTTGGTCAAGTCACTGGTCGTCCGGTGGCATTGGAGTGGCTGAAACGAATCCCCAAATCATAAACAAACACGAAACCACGATCCCAAGCCATCCATGGGACCTAGTTAGATACATTGATCCCATTTTCGGCCCATCCATGGAAGTAACTATTCCACACATGGATGGTCTGGGGATGGTCAAGAAGTGCTTGGGCCTGGTTGATCCTTGCTTTGCGTCGCTATGTGGACGACAGGGTTGCGTTGTCGTTGACATGGGGGAGCTATTGACATGATAACTCTTCCAGTCCCATTCGCAACAAATGACAGATCCCAAGCCATCCATCTATATGGAATAGTTTCAAACATGTTTAATTAGTTGATGGGCACATGGACCCCAGTTATCACATCAATGTAGGTAACTGTTCCAGTCCCGTGGATGGTCTGGGTCATGCGTCCTTTTGTGCGGTCTTCTTTCGGAAACCTTGCGGTCGATGGTCGGTGTTGGGTACCAACCATTCCACTGGCTCAACCAATTAACCTGTCCTACGTCCTACGGATTGATATGTATCTACATACCCTGTGAGAGGGTGATGTGTTCGATGCATTCCGACGTGGCAACAAACCATGACTGGACCTGGACCCGGCCCACCATGACCCATCGCTGTTCGAGAAAGCTTCAGCCAAATTTTAAGGATGTTCCCCTTCTGTAGAAATCCTCTGCGCCTGCGACCCTCAAGGGTTGTCTATCTGTGGGCTCCCCATCAGGGTTAAGAAGGGATGTCCCTTCACCACCCCTTCATACCCCTTCCGTGGTTCCTCTGGTCGTTTCAGACGCACTGCCGCCCCGCGGCGCTTGCCAGAAATCCCGACCCTCCCTCCAAGGGGTGTCTATTGATGGACCCCTTTTGGGCGGCCCGTGGACAGGGGAATTGATGACGGAGCCCCTAGTAGCGTGCTTGCCTCTTCATGTCCGTTCATCAGCCTGATGGTGGGTCCGCCCAAACCCATCGCAGCGTCCCGCCGAAACCGCCTGCTGAAGGTCGTCGGATTGGTCTCAGCCGGAGCGCGGAGCGTGAGTTTGCAAGGGTCGCAGAAGCGGACGTGGAAAAGGCCCAGTGGATGCGAGGAGAATCGTGTTTTGGGGGAAATCTTTCTCCTTGAACCAAAAGACTCGTATATGGGTTCTGGTCCAATTCAAGATGTGGAAATAAGCGGGCAAAGCTGCGATGGGGTTCAGGACTCGGTTCGGCGTTGAACATATCTTCGGGTCAGTTAGCATCTGGATGTGTGAGACCTGTACACGAAATCCATACTGCCGTCTCACAAAAGTCATCCGAGAAGTGACGGTGATATAGGCTGAAATCTCCAAAGGGGCTGAAAGCCAAAGTCGCTTTTGACCGTCCTTTTCAGTCCTTTTCATACCCGGATCCATGTATGGACTATGTTCGCCCATATTCCTTGACCCCTCAAACCACCCACCCCTCTCATCCCAGCGCGGGAGTTAGTCCTGCCAGTCCAGTGTCGGGGACCACCACGCCAGACCATCGTCGTCCATCGCCCCGCCGTGGTTGCGTCATTGGTCAACCAAGTTACCATCGGCAAGATCCTGACTGCTCCTGAGCTGAGGGATGTCGACGAGAAGTTCAGAGGACTCACCACAGATGCCTATCTTTCTGTATGTACCGGTTGAAGCAAACAGGCAGCATGGGGTGTGTCAAGAACAGCCAGGTGTACCCTGTCCTACGCTTGGACAACGAACAATCACCGCTAACCCCAGTGCAAGCTGCTTCCGCTCAAGAAGAACCATGACAATCAGGCTAGAACATCCTAGAATCAAGTAGCAACCACAGTAAGAAATGCCAAAAGAACATCTGCTGATACTTGCAACAGCTAGCAGCTAGTAAAAGAACACACCAGGAGGACTTTTCTCGACCCAAAGGACCACTCGCTGCATCCTTTGCTCTGCAGGTATGAAGAAGGTCAACCACATGCAAAGCAGCATGCATGCTGCAGCATGCCAGACCTATATGTCATTCCGAATTCCTGTAACTTGTTTCATCCTGTTCATGTGTTTGTCTGTCTAATCCGTTTCAAGCTTGAAACATGGATACTTATATAGCTTTCACCACCTGGAAACAAGAAAACACTTTCTCTTTCATCGCTCCTGTTTCTTCTCTTTCTCATGTTTTTCCTCCACATCGATCCTTTTCAACCCGCCCTCTCTCTCATTGTGTTCCCCGACCCAGCCCGCGAGGCCACGTCGTTCAGATCCTGCTTCGGTCGTGGGCCCTGCGCGCCCTTTGAGGGGTGGGAAGAACGAAAAGCAAACGAACAGCAATTAATTGGTTTGGATCTCGAGACCACATCCTGCGGTAGTTCCTAAAAGCTATATAAGAAACTATGTTATACAATTTTTGGCTCTTACGTGTCTCAGGGAGGTTTATATATAGGCCTAGACAAACCAGGATGGACCATTGAAAACGTCGTGCTGAGAAGTCTGATTGTTGGTTCCCTACCACAGCTCATCAATTCCAAGACTTAAAGGAGAGCATGGAATATGATATGCGATGGTACTGTCCCATTTTGGGGGTGTCGCAGAGCAGACTATTCCGTGACAGTGGAATCCTGTCTTGATTTGCGCCAAATAGGGGTGCGAACACCGGGGGACCAAATGGTGGGCCTCGAATCCTCTTCCATATGGTTCCGAAGCAAGGGCAGTACCTGTCTAACAAGGTCCTCGCCCACATAATTACGTGTTTGTGCACTTGCAAGTTGCAGGTGATATCACCTAAGCAAACAACTAGCAACAAAACACACTACACACATGCATATCAAGCATTGTCATGATGTTTGTTTCAAGAAACGAAACGAACTCACCACAACCCAAATTTCTTTCTTAGGGGAAACACATGAAACGCGAAGTTGAACGCCAAACCTTAGAACAGTTGACTAAGTATAAGCAACTATAGGAGTATCGTCATCGTCCTTCCATTTCACCCCATTTCTGTGTAAGTATTCACCCCTCTGGCCAAACAAGGCTGTACATGCACAAAGGTGCACCCCTTAAATTCTTTGGATGTTGGATGCTCACTCAGAACACCTGGTGAGTACCACTTCCTATTTGTTTATATAGATGTCACTCGCCTGAAAACCCGCCCGGTCATCCTTCACGGGCTCAAGAAGGGCCATCACACTGCCCCTTTCATCCACCGAACGCACCGAATCCAGTGTTCCCCGCAGCGGTCCACCGGGAAGTGGCTGCCTGGGACGGTCCGTCGAACGAGTAGCTCCGAACTGACACCAGAGCAGCTGTGTTCAACAGAACCAGCTCGTTAGAACAACAGAACCAGCTAGTTCATCACCAGGTCAGCTGTTTGTCTACCTTGGTGATCCTTGGTTTGTCCAACAAAAAGCGCCGCATAGATTTAGGCAGAGAAACAGCACCGCCAGCGAGCAAAGGACTTTTGAGCTTTAGGGGGAAGATCAAGGAAAATGATACTGATCTCCATACAGTATGCCTTAGGGATTTGAAGTTTTGACATGTGTTTCTTGGCTACATAGCCAAAGCAGCGCCAATGTCATTACGCAGAAAACAGTCCAAAAGATCCTGACAGACTTCTCCATTTGACTGGTGGTCATGTCGGAAGTTCCCTGCCTTCATCTCTACAAGCTTCTAGGGACCGCTTCATCTCCTGCCGGTCGCAGGAAGAGAAACCGCCCTGGCTGACGACGATGGGAGTCGTGGTACATGAGGGTCGACCTGATGTTCACCAGCGGCTCATCCGATGCATCCCAAAGTGCTAAAGAACTCAGAACAACTCAGACCCTCAAGGAGAACATCCATCAAATCGCCCTGCGCGGCTGAGCAGCAAAAATCATTGCTGTAACTTATGATCTCTTATGATGTGCCAAACAAAACTTCACAGAGTACTACGGCTGTATAGTTTAGTCTTGTCGATATTAAGTCATCCATGTCTCGCCAGTTGTTTGCTGCAGTTCAGCTGTTTCCATCTGCAACATCAGCAACTGCGAACACAACGACTGGTCCGACGATTCTTGTGTCTCTGGCCTTCCTGGAACAACCCTCCTGCAGATTAACATGGACCCTGAAAAGCAGTGGGTGGTAGATGAGAATGGCCTTGCAGGGGTCCATCTTCACGGTCTAACAATAGTCTGCAGGGGGGTAACATGGAAGCGGATGGCACCCTGTTTGTAGAGGATGTCTGGTCCTCCAAAATTGGGGCCATGCCATCCACGTAACCATCTTAGTTCCAGGTGGGTCTGGCTCGATGAAGTTGAATTGAAGACCTTCTGGCCTTCTGGCCTTATTGTTTCCTCTTCAAGGGTCTAGTATGAGACATGTATGACGCTGCCACTCCATCGCAAGAATCCAATAGACATCACCCCAACCAAAACATCTGATCTTTTCTGGGATCCCCCCCACAAAAAAAATTGACCAAACCACACCGGCAGTTGTTGAAATTTCCCGAACCAACAACATTAAACACAAGAAGAAAAACACACACCAACGAAGCCAAACCTCTCCGCAAACACGCCCCCGCGCCGCGGCTCTTGGGCTCTTTGCTTGCGGTGTTTTCGGGGGCCCGGTTCGCTTGACCGGCGCGTGACCGGCGCGTGACCGGCTTCCCGGCGTTGTTCTCCTTGAAGCGATGCTTGGCATAGGGCCGGGCGTCCGACCTGCGACGGAGCCGAAACCGGTGGGCACGGCGAGCGGTGGGCACGGGGACTGGGCACGGTTCATGTAGTTGGTGGCTGGTTCTTTTGGACGGTGAAATAACCAGGAATACCCGTGTCAATGTACCACTTTCAGAAAACCAACATCCAAATTGATTGTGACAAACCACGGCCCACCACACAACAAAATCCTTATTGAGTGACACAATGTATTGACTCATCCAATCCAGTCAACAAAGCCGAGAAGGGCGGAATCTGGTTGAAACAGGGCACGCTCTGATGGGCTTCCGAGAATTTTGGACCGGGCAGTTGTTTGAGTTATGAGGATTTCCGAAGACCATTCCAGTTGTCAGGCTGCAACTTGAGGGTTTGAGGCTTGCGTTTTCGCAGGGTGTGTGGGAGCAGCGCCTCCATCCGAAAAGGCAAGTCATTGAAAAGATCCTGGGTCAACATATCTACTCTTGGTGGAACAAATCCTGCACCACCTGAACCCACGCCGGGGGATCTGCTGTTCTTTTTGTGGCGTACTGCCCTTCCACCCAAAGCAAACAACTGCATGTTGTGTAATTATTACACAAGAAATAGAGCTTCCGGAACGAAACGAGGATTAACACATGGAAAGAAACACCTTATGTGTCTGTAGTCACTGTAGTCATTTCACAGATCAAGCCATACAGGCAAAAAGGCAGGAGATCCTTATCTGCCTGCCGGTTAATCATCTCTGCCAGCCACAATTCCGCTTTTTCCATGCCACAGGAGGAGCGTCAGCACTGTAGCTCCCTTTTGATGAAACGCCCGGACATGCTGATCAGCAGTCCATTTTGAATGGAGCCCCCACATTGATCCAAAAAAGAAAGTTGACTTGTCCATCCAAGCCCTTGATGTGAATCCTTGGTTTGTTTGGCCAACCTTTTTGCAACAGTATGGATATGGGGCCTCCCTATTTGGAGCCAAGACTTGAAACATCACCAGTCTCGGATCCATTCCTCGCATTCATCGAGGAAATTCTTCAGTTCTTCTTCATTCCGATAAAGCTCGTCCTCTGGCGGATGTGGCAAAGGCTCCCGTGCGGGGTCTGCAGTAGTGGTTGGAGCGCTTGCAACTTCCTGATTTGGTGGAGCGGCTTCCACTTGTTCATCAGCGGCTGTTCCTGACAGGTTTGTGAACACTTCACCACATTGTGACATTGTGTGCAAAACCTTCAACTAGATCAATGCAGCGTGCCCATGTCAGGCCTCACTTCCCACACCCACTTTGAACACTCGCACAACAAGAACAACAGCAACAAACAAAAACCTGCGACGAGCACCCACTTGTTCACAGCCTGCTGCTGCCTCAGCTTCTTCGCGTTCCCGTGCCCTTTCGGTGCGTGTCTCTTCCACCATGTGTTGCAAAATGTCTTTGAAGCCTGCGCGCCGTCTCCGGCACATGTTGTCGATGTTCACAGTGGGCTCATTGGTATGGACATCTTCCGCCTCAAGACATTGCACAGCTTGGCGGTTGTGGACCGGAGGGGATTGGAGACGGTCCAGTTATGCCTCTTGTGGCTGGTAGCACTGAGGGACGAGATTGACTCCGAGCGGAATGGTTTCGGACATCGTAGCGTGCCACAGGTCTAGTTTGAAGAAAAAAGAGCAGCATATATGTTAGCTAGGTACTCAGTGTTGATGAGACCTGCAATGCAAATCAAGGCGGGCTCCGTTTGGATCTCCCCAAAGCACGGTCTTAGAAGAGAAGGAATTCCCTCCACCCACGGTTTAAGCTACCTCCATGATTGGCCTGCGGCACAACGAGTCCAACCCAAAACCGCGGCTCATTCCTCCAACAATCAAATCATATTATCAAATCTATAAGACTGCGTGGACGGCCCCTGGGGCAGCCCTCAATTCTTTGAAGGTTCTCTTCGATTGTCGGAAAATGTGATGGCAAAGGGCCACCTACAGCAATTGCTTGCAAACCTTGGTTGACCTGCAACCCTTCCCACGGCCAAGCTGCAACGTCGCTGAAGATATGAATTAATCTTCTGATCTGAGCAGCAAAAGCCACGTCGAAACTCGACTCCAAATCGAGTCGAGGTGAATCTTTTGGCTGACACCCTTCACACAAGAACAGTTTCAGGGTAAGCAGAACCACCTTGCTACCTTGATTTTGTCGAAAAGCGAGTTCACCCAAAGACTTAGAGGCCAACTTCCCATCAATTTGGTTGTGTCACAGTGCCCAGACAGCCCTAGTTGATAGACAGCCCTCATTAATGAGAATCCTCTTGGTCATTATTGCCAACCTATCCATCGGTGACATGGAGGGGAAAGCGGTTTTGACGTTTTGACCCACAGTGAAATTGTTGGTCACTCATTTATACTTACTAATTACCAGCCTTCAAATCCACCATGCGAGGTCAAGCGATGAATCGCCAGGTGGACGGTCAAGGATCCCCCAGGAGACCCACCGAAGCTGGTGCTCTTGCCCTTCACAAATAGTGCTTAAGAAATCCGGTGATCTTCGCTGGCGTAGAATAGAGTCTCATAGGTCTCCGTTCTCTAACAATTGGCAAGGTGTAGTCTGCTCCCTGAACGTTGTACTGGGGAAGACATTGGCCACAAACAGAACGCACGAATGACGGCGCATCGGCGATCCTTCAACTTCAAACGTCACAGGCACCTGCAAAACAAATCTTGTTGGGATGGTCTTCGGTTGGCGGCCAACAACCCCAAAAAAAATAGGCCTGCCAAATCGACAGTCAGACGACATGCTGCGCGGAAGGTGTTGTGTACCCTCGGACTGAGGGGCCCCACACGATCCTCGGAGACCTGTACTGTCAAGCTGGCCAGAAAATTGCGTTCTTGTTAGTCGCACGGAGACCAGGGCGAGGCAATCCCCATCTGGCGCGGCACCTGAACAGGTCAATCCGGACCCTCGTGGAAGACCAAGAAACCACAGTCTCAACGTCTCTCGACATCGACCACAGGTGTGTGACGCTCGCCCAATTCTGTCAAATATTGCTGGACAACCAGGTTGTTTCAGCCAAGGTATACCAGTCATTACCAGTCACTCTGTTGATTTGGGACTAAATTAGCCTCGCCACGTGACCCCCTCCCCCCCGGTCTCCTCAGTTCTGTTGTCAGTGTCAGTGTCTGATTCCTGGTCGAACACATCAATTTCGCAGCCTTCTCTGCCGCTTTCGCGGCTTCTCTCGCCTGCCTCTCCTTCGCTTTGGCCTCTTTGGCCTCTGCCTCCTTCTGCTTCACCCTCTTTTTGTTCTCTCCTCCACGTCCCACCTCCAAGTTTTTCTCATCTTCATCATCTTCTCCCGGATCATATTACTTCATCCTCAGTCAGCCAGAATTGGCCAACCGCGCATGGATCTGCAGGATCCAGGGACGGTGAAGGTGACACCGCCTTTCTCTTCGGCATAGCTCTGTCGGGTGGCCCCCGCCCACTGCTCTGTTGACACGCAAACTGACACACAAACCTGCTGAAAGTGCCCATCTAAACATGTCTTCTCTCTATTTCTGTCTCACTCCCTACAAGGAGGTTTGCCCTGAGCAGAAATTGCAGCCGAAACAGGCAAGAGACTGAGCTGGATGAAGCTGACAATTACAGTATATATATAAACCGAAACGTCCCTGCTCTACAACCGTAGGTTGGAGAGAAACATACCCTTCAGTGAACTTCAGTGGGAAAATGTTTCACAGAACCCCGAGACATAGGCCATGTACGCGTGTTCAAACACACCAAAAGAGAGAGAGGGAGAGAGACACAGTTTTTGATTACCTTCAACCGTTGTTCCAAAGCACTGCAGGAAGTACTTCTGCTGTGAACCTACAAACCCAGGACCTTGCCTTCACTGCTTCGTTTGATCGTCACTTCTGAAACTGGCTGCTGAGGTTCTTCCATCCAGAAGGTACGCAGCTGATAGAGGGTTTCCACGGCAGTGACACAACGTGTTCCTGGACCGAATCACCTGGGTGCGAACGGTGTGAAACCAAAATGACTCACCCCCAGACCATCTACATATGGAATAGCTACCGTGGCTGGGTCATTTTCATGGAACAATACCGGTATCTATGTAACTCTTCCAGTCCCGTTCGTCGTTCGTCTGGGACCCGTTCCCACTGAGCTCCTGCGCTGCACGTCCCATCCGCGTGGGCCGCGTGGGCCCGCCTGTCGATCTCCGCGCTAAGCTTGTCGATGTACCATTGAAGCCTAGGCCACTGAAACATGTCGAGATGCCGCGATCTTCCACATTGAAGCTATCACTGCTTTGGCTGCTGCATCGATCCAAACTTAGCGGACTGGTACCTACGAGTAGTACCAATGGGATTTGATGCGGTTTTGGAACATTTGGGAGGTCTGCCCCAACCCAAGATTCCACAATGAAGTCACCAATAAACTGTCTAACACCCGCAGCATCTGACATACTGGATCAGCAATCCCTCAATGTCGCAGGGAACCAATGGTTCAAGTCATGTCATGAACCATGGCACGCATTGTTGCAAACTTCGAGCTCATCAAGCAAAGAAAGAAACACACGCATGAGACCTCTTCCAACTTGTCAAGAAAAACTGGCGGTGATTCCTGTGCTGTAAGTCGTGATCCCTGATTTCATAGTCTTGGGTGCCTCCTTGTCCACACTGCCTGACAATTTCTACATTGGGGTCCCAACTTCTACCTCCTGAGAAGGTGTTTGGTTCTGGTTTGGAGGGTCTAACTACCTTCTGGCAATGAGGACATGTTGAATTCAAGCACTACACCTACCATTTCGTGCAGGTATGTTGACTTCACCACACCCCACCACTCCTCCGCACCTTCCCTTCCAAGCGGCTCCCTCCGCGCCGGCTCCGGTGTGCCGCGCTGCAGGCGGCGCCGCACGGAACTGAGCGGCAACGCCATGTTGTGGCCTGGAGCGAGTCGATGATGCTGAGACCATGCGGACTAAGACCATCCATGAACGGAACCCCTGAAGGGGGCAGGACATCTGAAGTTTTCGGAGCCGGACACCTGAAGTCCACGTCTGTCGTTTACTTGCGCGGCACGAAGACGGTGCCCACATGGACCCTGAAAACCGCTGGCGTTGGGAGGAACAGGGTGCCAACACCAAAAAGGGGTGCCCATTCGACCACAGGGTCCATGTTTTTTGGTTTTTGGGGGGGAGTGGATATCTGCTGAGACTATCTATGTAAGGTCAGACTCGGTCAAAGGACTGGAAGGGTGACTTATATATACCTTTTTGGGGGGCCAGCTTGTTGCAAGACCTGCAAGATTCTGCAGTGCCAGTGGTTTGGGGAGGCACCAGGTTGGCATAATGTTTTGATAAGAGGTTTTACCGTAATACCATCCATATCAGTCAAGATTCTACATTAGGGACAGTGTGGTGCACTTCTCCAAGCCTATCCATATCAGTCACAACATGTTTCACCCTAATCAGGTGTGCAGTCTGCAGAGCATTTGAGACCTCACCGCTATGAACATATTTACTACTAGGAACAAGTGCATCGCTTCTAGCAACAAGTGCCTTACTAGTAGTAACAATGTTTGCTATTAGAATCAATTTACAATTAGTAAAGAAGGTTTTCTTCATCTAAAACATGGAGGACGGCATGGCCGAACTGTTTCAATGGACCGTTGGCTGCTGGGGCCCCCAGCGTATAAGCCGATGCTCACCACAGCACCTGAGCAGGGACATCGGTTGGTGGGGTTCTCTGTGAAGTGACGTAACAGTTCAGAACAAAAAGAGCAAAACTGGCTTAGTGGCTAGGTGTTGGCAGCTGACGTGAACAACGCTTCGCAGGGAAAAATGGGCTTTCAGCAGAAAGACAAACAAAAGCGGAAGAGCGGTTTGGGCAGAAGGCACCTCGCATCTTGGAATCATTGGACTGACTGACTCATGGAGTGCTTGGCATACAGGACACCCAACTCTGCGGAAGTTAAAGCAACAAAATACAAATGTGACTCAGACATACTCAGACCATCCATGGATGGAATATATCCCTGCACTCCGACTCACCAACATGGAAGTGCAAACCACCCTGTTCGTAAAGGAACATCATCTTCCAAGGGTCCCTTTTCCACTTCCATGTGAGTGAGTCGGAGGGTATACTGTGACCCTGAAATCAACCACCCTGAATACGATGAAGAGACGTGACCGATGTATCTATACTACCTAAGAGGCGAGACCGATGTACCCGATCTCGGAGCTTAATCCTCAGATTCCATCACCTTCAGAGATTTCAGAGTGAGCTGAAATAGGGATCTTCATTACGACTCCATCGATTGTCAAAGTGATCTTCATAGTGACTTCCAGTGACTCTCACAATTTCTTTTGATGAAACTACACTTCTAGCGCCCCCCCCCAAAGAGCCCTGCCCATCCAACTACCTCTCCGCGCATGCTCAACGAAAAACCTCGACGTCCGACGTGTATCGGGTGCCGCTCCATCTCCCTCGACCATCGTCCATCGACCGGCGTGGCGCTCCGAACGCAAGGGCGGGGCGCCAATCTTCGTCGAGCTGATGGTTGTGGCTCTTTTGCAGCGCCCGGGCCTCGGCCGTGAGAGCAGTTCGACGTTCGACCACGTGCAGAATTTCTGGGTTGGGACTTTCAAGTTGTTGGGACATGGGAGACTCAGAGTGATACTTCAGAAACTTCAGAGTGACCCCCCTCCCGCCAGACAGATGATCTTTCCGGGCTCTCAACAAACTTGGAATGAATCTGTAGATGGACTGCTGCAAGCTTTTACTCTCATAATGTGTTATATCATGTTAATATATAATCACTAGAACTGGCTTTGAGACCTCCAAGGGCAGGAACTTCGACTCTCCACGAGACTCTCCTTTCTTTGGACCGTGGTGCGGCCATCCAAACCGTCAAGCTGGAGGACAAGCCCACTATGGAGCCGATCATCACCTGGACAGCAGCCGGTTCAGAGCGTGCTTCGCCTTTTATCTCCGAGGTGTTGGAGGCTCGCGAGGTGATCAAGGTGGCTCCTGAAAAGTGGCGTCTTCCATGAACAAAAATTGAAGAAGCTCTTGGTAACGTGAGCTACTTGACTTGAAATAGGGTTGGGAATCAATATGAAGGAACGGAAAAAAAAAGTTCTGGTTTGGTTCAGGAAGAAATAGATTCCTAGAAGGAACATGTTAAACCATGCAAATGCAAATGCTTGTCCTGCCGAGTGTAAGACTGCCATGTCCAAGCACGTATAAGCAAATATGACCCACGCTAGGGCTTGCTGCGAGAGACTTGAAACATTGCAAGCTCTTGAAACATTTGTTTTCAAAGGACGGAAGAAGAATTCACGCATGCGATTCGTCATGCGATGATCACTTTCTAGGTGTTACTGCATACGGAGGTGCCCATGTTTGCAAAAGCATCATTTCGCACGCCAAAAGGCGAGAAAGCGCCCAGTGAACCTGTATGTCTCTATTCACTTCACCCGTGAAATCACCGGATTTCAAGACTTAAAGTCACTGATTTGGTCTGTGTAGACCAAGACCGATACTGGTAGCTTTTCCCAAGTCGTGGAGGGTCCTATCACCCGGTCAACACGAAACAAGTGTCGACTCAAAGCATCTGCTGAGGTTTCTTCTACTCCAACCTGCATCAACCCGCTATCAAACGGCCCAGACTTTTGGACTGGAACACATCGTGGTAGGACCGGCTCCTCGCCCCCACAGTGTTCGCTGTCACTTGAACATGCCGCATCGCCCCGTTCGCTGTCACTTGATCGAGCGATGCGTTTCATCGCCTGTTCGACGGAGTGGTCGCCCAAAATCACCTCAGGCGTGCGACGGGAGCGAGTGGTGATGGAAGGAGACGTGGCGAAGGCCCAAGGCTTGAAGCTTTGTTAGCGTCCTTGCTCCTAGTAGTACGGCGAGGAGCCCCTAGTAGCTTCTTGCTCCTAGTAGCGATGCCAGGAGCCCCTAGTAGCCTCCTTGCTCCTGGTCTATTGATTGAAAACAATCGAAGTGAAAAGTGGCCATTTGGCACATGAAGTGCATTTTACATCATGTTTCTCTGGTCTTCCACGATGAGATTTGGAGGAACTGTGAACATCCGGCCAATGAAGGGTCAAAGGCAATCGGCCACGCCCAGGCTTGAGCAGGGGTTGTCTTGACACCGGTCTCATTCCATTCACCCCATTGCAGCGGTCCATAGGTACTGGCCATTCACCCTATAGGCACATGTGGCGGAACCGACCGGCCAGCCACGTTGACCTGAACCCCAGAAACATGGCCAAGAGCGTTTAACACCTAGACCATCCATGGGATTAGAATAGTTCCTTATATTAGGGTCACAAACAATTAGGGTAGATATAGGTAAATCAATGAAACTATTGTCTGGGACACAATGCTCCCCAAACCAGACTATGTCCATTTGCTTCATCTATGGCCAGAGACGGATCGGTTTATGCTGAAGCGTGACTGCAGCTGTCTCTGGGCAGCCCTACCCGGGTGAATGGCACAGGCCCAAGCAGCACTGTCCTCAGACGGGAGAGCTTGTCTGAATGAAAATAGACAAACTCTGTGGTGCCCAGATTTCTTCAGGATCCAAAAGCATCTGCTTTGGATGAGTTGAGGACTATTCTCCACACACATTGAAGCTAGTGGCCCCTCTGTGAGGTCGAAGTTGCTAAGTCTGAGCTTTTTAAGAGGAATAGTCAGTCAGTTGAGTCAGTGGTGCCAAAAGCGAGATCCCAAAGCTGAACAGAACACAATCTCTTGCACACTAAAGACAGTTGGACAAATGCGCTTGGATCCAACAGTCAGATTTTGCCCTCATCGACATCTCCCAGTTCCAGGGTTTTGATGCTGCCAGGGTTTTGAGTGTGGAAGAACAACCCAACTTTTCAGGGTCCAAATATATCCGTTCGATTCCATGAGCCAACTCCGTTCCAAATCCATGGCCACCGCCGGAATCGCCCGTTCGTTCTCTTCAATCTTGCCAAATCATGTGAGGTTCACCGGAGGTCGAACTCATCTGGTGGGAGTTGGATGGAGCTTTGAATGCAAAACTCGTGTGAACCGGCAACAAGACGAGGTGGGGTGCTGGATGCTGCTGGATGATGCTGGATCCTTCAGAAGACATCCAAAAGTGGGACACTTGCACAGCGATAGCAACGAAGCATGTGACCAGAGGATCCAAAACATCAGAGTGGACTTGGTCAGACTGAGGGATTTCAAGCTACCAGGGCACTGAAAAGAAGGAGGTGACTTGGCCATCGGAAACCATACTCAACATCCTGGCCCACGCCCCAGAAAGCTGATTTCTGGATGTGTCTTTCTTCTTCCTTTCTTCCTGCCGTGTTGCTCCGCATGGCTTTGAGCACGGCCCCAGGCCTCTAACACTGTAACGCATCCGTCAGCTAGGTGTAGTATGGTGATCTCTGGTGTACTCAACCCGCTTCTACTCCACCGACCGAACCCCAAACCGAACGCCCCCAACAAAAAACCCTTCCAGCAGCGACCGACTGGGCTCCGGACCAAAAACCACACAGCAAAAGGCACCTCGGAAAATCGGTTGCATCGACCGCCTACCGGGCGGGCTCGGACCAGGCGCCGGAGGCCCGAGGCGCTCAATGGTGCGTTGTGATCGTTGTGGCCGGAGTGTGCTGCAGGTGTTCGAAGGTGGTTTGACTGGACATATGTAGGGAACATGACTTTTTGCGAGGTACACTTCACTCTGCCAACGTATCTCTGTTTATGAGTAACCAAAAAAGCAATTCTGTCTTAACAACGCGGAACTCCCGCACCATCCTGTCGTTTTGAAAGCTGTTTGTTCACCAAACACATCCAGACACGACCAAACGTCCAATATCCTTCCAGTGACATGAGCTTTGCTCATGCGTCACCACCCTTGTCGCCATGACACTGCAAAGCATCCAACTCATCCCAGGAACGCATGGCCGCACGCTGGGCCTCGACTCTGGAGACAAACGTGCGAGAAAACGGGCTGCGAACGGTTGGGTGGGGCTGTCGATGTTCTGTTCAAACACCAAAGGAGGTACATAATAGACAGAATCATGATCGTGTCTGACGTCGTAGTCTGGGCCACCCCTTACAGTACGCCTTATGTCCTCAGAGTCTGTTCAGATTCGCAAAAAGCAACATGGCATGCGTCTGCCAGCCAGGTGTGCTCGTGGCGATTCTTGGAGATTCAACAGGGGCTTGTGGAAGCATTTCATACAGCTGTGTCAAATGATGTGAAATGCAAAACAAAGAGCCACACACATGATGTCACATGTGGAAGCATGTTTCTGAAATGAGATCTAACACATCATCTGCACCAGGTCCTTTGGAAAACTCCGCTCCAGCATGAAAAAAACAATCACTGCAAACTTAGTATACTTATTATTTGAGAGAGAGAGAGACAAAGACAACAAACATGATACCACCCTTTCACTTCTTTCAATAACATCTCACTTTGTTTCTGGGGTTCATGACCATCTCCTCTGGCGCCATTGAAACCACGCCAGTCACGTACTGTCACGCACCGGTCGCGGCCTCCTTCGCTGACTCCCTGAGATGCTCCCAATCCACCCAACTGAACGGCCTCGCACCGGCGTCACGGAACGGCGCGGCGCGGCTGACGCGGCGGCTGACGCGTGGCGAAGGGGCCGACAAGTGCAGCAAACAGAATGGTTGTGTTGAGGCCGTTTGCTACATGGTGAACCAGGGCTTCAGGTTTGGACCCATCCCCATATGCTGTCTCTGTGTTCAGTCTGTTTCAGTGGATGATGGTAGCTGTTCCGATCATTCTCCCATATGCTCCCCTTGCGTTTTCATCCAAGGCTCTTTGTGCCCCCTGCATTCCCCTACTGTGCTTCACCCACTGCCCCTTCGTGCCCCCTTCCAGAAGGCAGCATGTTCCTTTGGACTTCCTATCTCTCAAACCATGTCGGACAAGTACTGATGGCCAACTGATGGCAACAAACAACAATGTAACAACATGTGATGAAAAAACGACAAAATATACCAGGACACTACTTGCAATTCTCTCCAATACTGGACATGTGGTCCAGGTCTCCAGGTGGCTGTGTTGCTCTTTGGGGATCTAAATGGATCTGCACAGAACATGTTCCCAACATCCACAAGGTTGTAGTGCAAGGAACAAAGATATCAGAAGGTTGGATATCATCGGTCTCCAGTGCGAATGTCTTACATCTTGCTTCCCCGAAGCGGATCACATCTAACAACAAACAACAAACAATATTGGATTCCACAATGATCTAGTGTTTCCTGCTACTTTGGAAGATTACCTGCAAATGCTGCCTAAGTCAAACAAAATTTGGGGCGGCCCCAGTGACCTACAAGTTCGGAGTTTAAATATAGTGTGATAGCTGCAACTACTACACAAATAGATATATAGTTGCTTCCTATCGAATCATCTCATCATCTGGAGCCAACAAATGTCAACCGGCCCACATGCCAACACTCACCACATCAACCAAATCGAACACCGCATCGAACACCGCATCCAACTCCGGTCCCGCCTGAGCTGCAATCGCCAAAGAAGTTCGTAAGCGTGGAATCCCCACAAGCTCAGGGCAAAAGCCTGGGCGGTTCGGTACGATTCGGACTCTGGCCGGCGATTCCCGCGTCAGGGGAGTGGAGGTTGAACCTGCTTCCTGGTGGATGATGGATGTCCTTCCCTAGGGTGTAGCAGTCAGCCTGGTGGACATGACAAGTCGAAGTTCACCCATCTGTGTTTAGGTGAATATCTTATTACAGGTCTTAACATGTAATGACACAGCGTGGAGTGTGGCTCACAGGGAAGGACAAGAACCTGCTTTCGTCTGCAAAGTTTCCCGGGGCAAAAATGTGGGCTGGGCCTCTTGGTCTTACTTGTAGTAGTTGTATAAGATTGTATATATATATGTGGTAGGGACCTCTGGGGTTCATTTCGCTCGTGATAGAATGTGTACCCTTGACGAACCTTCCCAGCTGCTCACATCCTGAAATCGAATAGGATTATGTATAAACTACCTGCTATAATATTTGTGCTCCTTCATTGGTATAAAGATTGATCATATTAACATTATCAATCATCAATTTGCAAATAGTGTGAAAAATTGATCATAAACATCTTGTTCCTATCCTTTTCCAGAAGATTAATATCTAAAAACATATGTGGCTGTTCAGTGGCTATTTCATAAAGTTTATATAAGACCTGCTTACTTTCTTGGATATTGTGTCTTTTCTTCTAGGTATTGCTGATAGTTCTTTTTGAAACAGTTCTATTTCTTTAAAGTTGCTGACCTTGTAGAAGAATAGGTGTGTGGCATTAACTCTTATCAGTGTGGTCAGTGCATTAAATTTGTGAACAAATGTTATAACACTAATACCATTGTGTCTACCTCTTACATAAAGGGAATCACATATGTTTGAATATCTTGCTATTTTGGGATCATCTGCTATATCATCCAAGACTATTAGGATTGTTTTTTTTATTTATGTTTTTTTTACTGTATTCAGTTATTCTATGTTGTGTTTCAATGACTTTCATTAAATCTTCACTGTGAAAGTCTTCAAACAAAACCTGCTCTTTACCAGTGTTCACTTTCATGTCTTCCTTTATGTATTTCTTGACTGGCAACCAGATGCTATCAACATTTATTGAAGGTGACCAGATATACACCCTTGAAAAACTTCCTTGTAGGTGTCCATATTCATGTTTGTTAGTAGCACTGATTTGCTACTACCAGACGGACCGGTTATGATTGATCTAAAGGGCACTTTAGAGGCAACAGCATATTTTGATTGAGTGAATTCATAATTGATTTCTTTGATAGGTTGAATATGTGGTGCGGTGTTATTATTCATCTATTAATAAAAATACATAGAAAACATTATTAAATATTAGCAGATCTCCTATGGACAGAGTGCGGTAGGTGAGGCTACGCTAATCCGCATAAGTCGGTAATTAGTTTGCTTTTCAGCAATGGATTTTTTGCCCTTACAGTTGAATTCGTTTTTAGTGTTCTCCAAAGCACTACATAATTAGATGGTGTTAAAGCATTATCTAATTATAGTTATATATTATGACGCTATCTGAACATGATGCTTATATAACAGGAAGAGATGATATGGAAAAAATGATAGTGCTAAATATCCAGTTGTTAAAGATAATAAACTTAAGCAGTGTTGTAAATACTCACTGGAAATGTCAAAATTGATAACTACTTATCTAAAATGTAATATACATGCCACCAAAAAAGACAAAAAACAACAAAGATGAATAAAACACAAATCCCGAAAGAGTTTGAACTAGCAGATGAAGAACCAACAACAATAAAACTAGATGAAGAACAAAAACTAACAAGCAAATTCATTACCTTTGACTGTCCTTTGTGCCAGGGAAAACTACAACTGAGAATGAAATTGAAATCAACACTAAAGGCAAAAAGTGTAAGTGTAATCCATATAGCTTTAAAATCAGCAAGAGTGATAAGATAAGACTATGAAAGTTTCAAACGATGATGGTGGATTTAGATAATACTGATAAAATTGATGAGCTGATAAAGAAAATGAACAGATATAATAATAGTCTTAAATTGATCTTACAGTTGTTAAAAACCATTGATGAAAAGACTAATGAGAAAAAAATGATTTAAGGAAAATGGAGAAGCATCTGAAAAGAAAAGCATAGGTAGACCAGTAGGGGACTTTGAATCTAAAAGGAAGCAGTATTTAGAAATGTTGAATTCAAAAATAATAAAACAACCTAAAGAGACCACCATACAATATAACAAAATTGATTATGCTGAAGACACTGAAACATACTCATGATAATATATTTTCTATGACAACATATTATTATGAAATTATAACAGTTATACAGGTTCACACTTTGATGGCACACGGGAATCGAGACAATACATGGCATATATGCACTTTTTGATGAAACACATCGAGGATCTGAAAGGGCCATGTGTGCCATCATAGTGGTCAGTTGATGCTTGGGGGGATCGGCATTGTAATCTACTAGAGCCGTTTGGCTGGTATGCCATCTTATTGTTTGTTGCAGGCCTTAAGGGTGTTGTATTCTGTTTGCTGGTCTCTCTCTCTCTCCCTCTCTCTCTCTCTCTGTCGACGCTTTCCAGTTCTCCCACACCAGAAACTCAGTTTCCGCAAAAAACCTTTTCCATCCAGCAGCCCCAAGAGTGTCATGCACTGTAGGTGTCCTGTTTGTATAGTTTCTTTCCTTTGCTCCTTCTCTTGGACTTCATTCCATTTGCTGGATTCTAGTATGAGACTAGCTCGCTCTCACTCTCACTCTCTCACTCTCTGTAACTCCCTCTCTCTCTCTCTTTGTGTGTAGTGTGCCATCTTAGCGTTCCTATGTTCAATTCATTTCATTCTTCTTCCCTTCCTCACTCCCTGCCTCTTCTTTCCCTTTTGCTTTGTGCCCTGCTCTCGCAGCGGACCTACCATTGTTGTATATAGTGGTCCTCTCCATTCGGTATGCTGTTCCTGCGTTAGTGCATATCATTTCCTCACGTGCCATCTTAACGTTCCTATGTTCAATGCATACCACTCTTTCCTCGCATCCTTTCAACTGCCTTTATCCTTGCCGTTCTATTTAGTATTCTTTTCATGCCCTTTAGCCTGTTTGGACATACCTCAATTACTTGCCAGGGGTTCCAGGACGTCCTTAGTTATGTTAGTTCCTCTCTCTCTCTTTCTCTCTCCCACCGCGGCTCCCTGAACAAAGGCTTAACCAAGATCAAATAAGGTAGCCTGTGCAGCAGGCGCCTGATCTCATCTTATATACGTATATATATATATATATTATATGTGTTTTTTTTGGGGTGTCCTTTCCTGTCTGTATAGTTTCTTTCCTTTGTTCCTTCTCTTGGACTTCATTCCATTTGCTGGATTCTAAGCATGAGACTAGCTCACTCTCACTCTCACTCTCTCACTCTCTGTAACTCCCTCTCTCTCTCTCTCTCTTTGTGTGTGGTGTACCATCTTAGCGTTCCTATGTTCAATTCATTTCATTCTCCTCCCTTCCTCACTCCCTGCCTCTTCTTTCCCTTTTGCTTTGTGCCCTGCTCTCGCAGCGGACCTACCATTGTTGTATATAATGGTCCTCTCCTCTCAGTATGCTGTTCCTGTGTTAGTGCATGTCATTTCCTCATTCCCTTCCTCCCCCTCCCTCCCTCTCTCCCTGCTTGCCTTCCTCCCTCTCTTTTACTTTTCTTTTGTGAATGCAACCCCAGCACTCTCAAAGAACCCCGCTCTCACAGCGGCCCTGCCATTGCTTCAGTGTATTGGTATGTCATTTGAGTGTTCCTATTGTCAAAGCTCAATTTTGCGCTGAAATCTTTAATCTTTGATGGCATATTTCAACCATTTTACTTGTGCCATCATTTCGTGAACCCCTATATTTTCAGGCACAGGTAGTGTTGGAAGAATTGTTAAAGAACTTGGTTATACTATTATATCACTTGATCTTAAAAATGCTAGTATCAATGAGGATATTTTGAAATTTGATTATAATAAATTTGACAACGACTTTGATGTTACTTGGTCATCCCCGCCTTGCACTGAATACATCATAGCAAAACAAACAGGCACTAGAAAAATTGATGAAGCAAATGAAACAGTGAAGAAAGCTATTGACATAATAAACTATTTTGATCCAAATGTTTTCGTTGAAAACCCCCCAGACCGGACTTTTGAAGGAGCAAGAGTTTATGAAAAACTTCGTTTTTTGATGTTGATTATTGTAAAGATGGAATGGCATACAGAAAACGCACCAGACTTTGGACAAATATAAAAACTTGGACACCTAAACCATTATGTAAAAAGAACTGCGTACAAATGGAAGGGAATAGGCATAGGGAAACAGCACAAAGGGCACCTAGCAATAGGAAGGAAACATGGCCTGAAAACTTGAAAACTATACATTGTTTAATCAGAAGGAATTATACATAATCCCAGAAGAGTTGATCAGATAAATATTTATATAATGCTATAAACTAGATATTTACTATTCTAATTTCTTCTATGAGAGACCAATGGGGGATGTTCACCTGACCAATACTTAAAGGGATAGTAGCAATAGGTACTAAGGAGATGAAAGGTGATAAGTTTGAGAATGTGTATTGTCAGGTGTGTGAGTGCAATGTGAGGAAAAGTGGATGGGGGAAGCATAAGAAAACAAATATGCATATTGAGAATGCTCAGGGTGGAGGTGAGGAAGTGGAGAAGAGAAGGTGTGGACAGTGTGGATGTAATAAGGAATTTGGAATGTTTAATGAAAAGAATGCGACTTGTAATGTGTGCTTAGACAGATGGAAAAGGTGGGTGGGGAGGAATGTTGAGAAGAAGAAGGAGATTGATAGAGCTTGGAGAGAGGAGAATAGGGAGAAGAAAAACTAATATGATCGGGAATATAGTTTGATTGAGATGTGGTGTGAGGTATGTGCGTGCAAGGTGAGAAAATGTAAGTGGAGAAGACATATTGAGAGTAGGAAGCATAGGATGGGTGGGGAGTGGGGATGATGGAAAAGATGGTGTGGGGGGAGATGGGGGAAGGGTGGTCAGGTGAACATCCCCCCTTGGTCTTCCCCTACTAACATATCTGAAAATGGAGAGAATATCGGACTCGCTCAATAGGATTACAGGATCACATCTTCTTCCGTGTTTCAACACCAGTAGAGGCCCCGATCCTTCCAATCATTCATGTGATCCATAGAAACGCATTCAAATCGCATGTTTAACTGTTGTGTTTGGCCCGAACTCCCCCACAACTGCGTCAGGCAACATCTATTTGATCGAGGGTCTTGTGGAAACTACTGATTTCTGCACTTATACAGTAATAGAGCTATATTGGACATAAACCCTTTTTTCATAAAAATATTTTAAAAAGTACACAACAATAATACAATTCCATTTGATAAACTGATTTTTGTTTACACTATTTAATTTACAAATGCTTTTTGCAAAGTAAAAAAAACTAAATTCAATTCTATTTAATAGAGTGACTCAGTGGCCTCCGGCTACTATTAAAAAATAAATAAATAAAAGCTATCTATTTTTTTACTTATATAAATTGATCGAATTTACAAATGCCTTTGGTATTTTTATTTCTTAATAGAATTTTATTACAATTCTATTTAATAGAGTGACTCAGTGGCCTGCGGCTATTTAAAAAGTTTGAAAAAAAAATCTGTACAAAAGCCTTTTGTAAAGTAAAAATAGATAATTTGTAAAAATAAATCAAAATCAATTCGTTTCTGTAAATTTACAAATGCCTTTTGTAAATAAACAAGAACAATACAATTCCATTAAATAGAGTGACTCAGTGGCATCCGGCTATTTAAAAAATTAATAAATTAAAAGAAATAGATAAAATCAAAAAAATAAATCAAAATCGATCTATTTTTTATTTACAAATGCCTTTTGTAAATTAAAAAAGTACAAAAAATACAAAAAATAAATCAAAATCTATGAATAATTTAATTTACAAAAACCGTTTGTAAATAAAAAACAATTATAGTTAATAGAGTGACTCAGTGGCATCCGGCTATTTAAAAAATTAAATAAATTAAAAAAAAGTAACTTACATCAAAAAAAAATCAAAATTGATTTATTTTTTTAATTTACAAAAGCCTTTTGTAAATTTAAAAAAAATCAAAATCTATTAATAATTTAATTTACAAAAACCTTTTGTAAACAAAAACACAATTATAGTCAATAGAGTGAATCAGTGGCTTCCGGCTATTTAAAAAATTAAATAAATAATAAAAAAAAATCAAAATCGATTTATTTTTTTTAATTTACAAATGCCTTTTTTTAATTTAAAAAAACAAAAAAATTAAAAAAATAAATCAAAATCTATCCAATTTTTAATTTACAAACGCCTTTTGTAAATTAAAAGATAATAAATAGAATTAAAAAATAAAGCAA